GTAATCATGGTTCTTCTTTTTCATTTGTTAGATTCATTTCACTTCATTTTTTTAAAAAGTAAAATAAATACAGGAAGAAGATATAACAATAATGAAAGCTTCCATTTAATAAGTCTATTATGCACTGTTGAATTTGTGGAAAAGTCTATATTAAATGCTGTCAAGGGCTAAATTATTTAATTGGCGTGGAAGTTGGTAACATGAATAGCAAATGGATTTGCAACAGGCAGGAGCCTCTTCTGCCCCAAGAGACTCTTTGCTACATGTTCCTCTTGTAATCTCAACTGTGTTATTGTCACACCAGCTACAGGAGCCAGATGTGCTAAGCTGTGACTCAGAGAAGCCATACAGCATGAAAATATGGCATGGAGTTTGCTGGGTAGGGTTGAAGGAATGGATGACATTAGTATCTACACAATGCCTACTAAAACCTCATAGTTGCAGCTAGCATTCAAGCTACTTTAATAATCAAGAAGCTGGCACTGCATTTTTATCTGAGTAGAAGAAAACAATAGAAGAGATATATGTGGCTCAGGGCTGAACTGTACAGTCCTTGGTGCTTTCTGAAAATCAGAGACCTAAAACAGAATAAGATGAAATTATTATGGTTTCATTCAATGTCACAGCACTCTTTACGTCCATAGAACAGGACTAGAGAAAGAATCCATGGCAGCAGAACTACATAACACACCGACTTAGCTAAATACATAATATAAGCTTACTTATAAACAACTTAAAGAAGACAATATAAAAGCTAAGAAAACAGAACAAAAACAGGAGAGATCCTCTCCAGCAGCCAACATCCAATAAGGAGGAAATAACACCAGACAAACAAGCAGAGAACAATACCCTAATCAGGGAATACGAAGGAGAAAACCATACCCTCATCAACTTTGGCAGGGCAAACCACCATATCTAAATAGGGAGCAAATCCCACAATCACTAACACTGATGATGTAACTAGTCAGGTAATAAAATGTCTACAAGCAAACAGGTAACTCTAAGAACACCAAAGACTCCATAGAAAACATGTATCCACCAGTGTAATTTCTGATTTACACCAGATATCAAGACATGCTTCATTATCTTCAAAGAAACAAGCCTCATTTCGTATTTGCAGAGTTGGCAAAGTGCTGGTTGAATAGATGCATCTCCTTCTCCCTCATCTCCTTTGCTACTTTTCTTCTGAACTGGCTCAGCTTCTTTGCTCTTAGGAAGTACCTGTCCTTTTCTTTCTCTCCTGCCCCAAGAAAACAGTATCTGCTTTGCCTTTTTTAATTACTGTGTTTCTTTTATATATGGTATCAGCCCTTGTTAAAGAGCTTAAAATTGTATTCTTGGTTTTCCCAACACTCTTCCTGGATCTTCACAACTCCCTTGTCTGATAACTTGAGAGCCAGATAATGGGAAGGTTCAAAGAGAAAGTGCTTAGCTTTGATTTAGTGAATTTTATGACACCAGCCATTTTGTGGCTACATAAGAATTTTAATTTAATTTAATTTAATGTATTCAGTGGAGGCACCGCCTGACTCCAAACAGTGATGTATAATAAAACGGAAGTGTCCTATGTTTTTGGTTTGCTATGCTCCTGTCCATCCCTTTAGACTTGAAGTAAACCTGAGAAAAGTGGGGTTTTGTGGGGGAGAAAAGAGGAAAGGGAGCCCCCTTTAATCCAGAAAATAATTATGTTCATGCTGGAAAACATCTGTGAGTTGTAGGAAGCAAACAAACCAATCAAATCTATGAATCAATCAGAATAGAGCTTTAGGTCTTTTAGTCCAACCTCCTGCTCAAGCAGGAGATCCTATACCATTTCAGACAAGTGGCTGTCCGGTCTCTTCTTAAAAATCTCAGTGATGAAATACCCACAACTTCTGAAGGCAAGCAATTCCACTGGTTAATTGTTCTCACTGTTAGAAAGTTTCTCCTTGATTCCAGGTTGCTTCTCTCCTTGATAAGTGACCGTGCCTTGTTTCTTGCCCTGCTCTCTGGTGCGTTGGAAAATAAGTTGACTCCTTCTTCTTTGTGGCAGCTCCTAAAATACTGGAATATTGCTATCATGTTACCCTTAGTCCTTCTTTTCTGTAGACTAGCCATACCCAATTCTTGCAATCGTTCTTCATTCTTCAAACCATTTCCCAATAATACAGTGAAGGTGTGATAGTCTAGGATTTTATACCGTAAGCTGGGGAAAAAAAAGAATAAAGCTTTAGGGATTTCTTTTTTATTAATCAGATGACAACTTCCCAGGCGCACGAAGAGCAGGAGGACATAAGCAATCTTTGCCAGTTTCAAATTACTATCCGTGCAACATAACTATATTCATTAAAGCATCAGCCATCTAAAATAAAGACAGTTCTCAAACATTGCTTATCTTTAAGACCATCACTCATTAGAGGATCTGTGCAGGGTGAAATAGAGGGTAATTGTTCCCGGTTTTGTATCAGAAACAGGTAATGGCTGCTGAATCCACTCTCTTCCTTTGCAGGTATGTATTAAGGCAGTGCAATTAAAGCACATGCCGCAGCTTCTTGTTGAATTGAGGCTGTGATGTGAAAGCATAGCAGTGAAGACAAGGATAAAACAGGAGGTAATGGAGTAGAGTTTAGCCTGCAGTTGCATGGTATTCCTGAAACAGGTGCAAGTTTATTATCAATGATCAGAGTGGGTGAGTGGGAAGATGATTTTCCTACTCTGGTAGAAAGTTCATCGATGCTCATGATGGACCATACATACCTTTTTACTGTTCCTATTAATTTTTTTTAGTTAAAATAGAATGTTAAGAAGTGTCTTGTGTGAGGAAGTGAGAGGGTAAGGCTGGAAGGGTAGAAAACAGTTTGGCCACCTAAGAAGAGATTTATTGCAGTGTCAAGAGGAATCTGGTTCTATTCATTAGTTCCCAAAAGATGCTTTCCTTCCTCTCCCCTCCCCTCCCCCTTTCCCTTGGTGTATTGTGTCATGTCAATCAGATAATGCAGGGGTCTTCAAACTTGGCCCTTTTACGACTTGTGGACTTCAATTCCCAGAATTCCTCAGCCAGGCATGCTGGCTGAGAAGTTCTGGGAGTTGAAGTCCACAGGTCGTAAAAGGGCCAAGTTTGAAGACCCCTGAGATAATGAGATTGGGAGAGACAGAAGATACCTTTAAAATTTAATTTCATTATTCCTTGTAATATTTAGAACAGTATTTCTCAAACTTGGCAACTTTAAGATATGTGGACTTCAAATCTCAGAATTCCACAGCCACCCTTTGGAAAGAGAATCAAAGTGGGTCCAGTCATAGTGCCTAGTGAATAGTCATGAGTTTTCTTATATTTTTGCTCCAAACTGTCCAGCTTGTGTCCAGTTTAATAATTCCAGCACTGTATCGTATCAAAGATATGGCCCAGGGATTGATGGCTTTGATGATGTTTTCACCATTTAATTTTGTCTTTAACACTTTTCTCACTCTTTGGATATATTTTTTACTAAGCATATTTTTAATTTGTCCATGCTTGATGTTATCCAACTGTAAAATGTCCAGATACTTGTAGGCTTCATCCTGGTGGTTTGGCCATTCAGCATTTCAATTCTATTATCAGGATTTTACTCCAATTAATTGCTTTTCTAGCACATTTCTCTAGGCCAAATTCCATTACTATAACTGTGCTAAAAATTATTATCATATTTGTCAATGACTGTATTTCAATTTCTGGTTTTCCATAAAGCCTCGGTTCACACATATAAAGCAAATGTGATATTTTATTAACTTTTTTTTAATGTTGGATAGCCACGATTTGGCTATACTAATATACCAATATTACTACTAATAATAATTATAAAATAATACTATTGTTACCACTGTTATCTTGAAATTCAGACTAGGAGTATGATGTCAAAAGTCTCTTTGCTGATTGTCTGGCAAATAGTATTATCACATTTAACCCAGTAATGTGATTAGTTAAATACACACCATTAGGAAGATCTGAGTCTTAATCATCTAATCATGTAAAAAAATGATTACATGATAAAATGATGTAAGAAAAGATCAAAGGCCAATAGCAACTTTTTTCATTATATGTAAACTGTGTGCAACTTTAGTAGTATTGCATATGCAAATAACCTAACCTAAAAATGGTGCACGTAAGAAAATGAATTAGATAAATAGTTGTACGCAAAGCTCAAGTGTAGCGCAAAGTTACACCCATATCATAAACAAAGTTTTTGTTTATCATGTGTTGATCCTTAGAGAGAACACTGCTGTAGACTTCAGTAGAAGATTTTTTTTTCATTTGTCTCTGATATGTGTGTGTGTATATTCCTCCCTTCTTTTTTATGTTTTTTATTATTATTATTTTAAAAATTCCATTTCTATATTGAACAGTGTGTTGTCTAGGTGTACAAGTATTAAGATATAATAATCATCACATTCATAATAATCTTATCATGATACAATCATATACTAAGAAATAGCAATCAAAATATTAAAAATAGTATTACCCACATTAAAATTAATTATATAACAATCAAATTATTTACTAATCCATTATAAATCTTGTTTACATAATCCACACATTCTCATATTTCCAACTTTCTAACTCTGTTTTTGTCAACTAACCATTGGTAAAATAAATCCCATGCCATATAATATTCCGCTTCTTCTTTTTCTTTAATTTGTAACGTTAAGCTATCCATTTCTGCACATCCCAGTATTTTTTTAAATTATATTCTCTTCTGTAGGAGTTCCTTCATTTTTCCAAAAGTGTGCATATACTATCTTAGCTGCTGTTAAAATATGTAAAACTAAATGAGTATTGCCTTTATTGTAATTTCCTGGTAACATGCCCAGTAGGAATATCTCTGGTTTTAAATCTATATGTTGTTTTATCATTGCTTCCAACCACACATGTATTTTATTCCTCCCTTCTTCATAGATGGTGTTTCATTTAAACCTAACTCTCCCAGTTCTTGGTTTTTCCAACTTCTTAACAATTTCACTTTTCTGGATGTATTTGTTTCCAGGGCTCCTTGTAAGAGAAGTCCAGATCGAAGTCTCTCGCCAGCAAGTGGAGGAGCTGTTTGGGCTAGAAGATTACTGGTGTCAATGTGTGGCATGGAGTTCTGCTGGAACTACAAAAAGCCGCCGAGCTTATGTCCGGATAGCATGTAGGTTTGGGAAGATTCTTTTTTGTTCCCTTCTTTCTTTTTGAAGATCTTTTTATATTATGATTTTGCTGCTGATGTTTAGTGCACTTGCATACCCTGCAGAAAAAGGGGAATATCATGAATAGCCACGTTAAAAGAATCCACTCGCTCCAACTTTTTATAGACCATTAGCTAATTAAAGCCTCCTGCAGCTTTTTCTCCATATCATATGCAGTTCCCACAGAAGTGTCCCAAAATGGTCACTGCCAAGGCAAAAGCTTGCCTCCAGTAATCCTTGTTCTTCATTCTCTCCGTCTGCAGTTATATGTTTCATGTTATATGTTTCTGGTGAATTTCATCTCCAGAGTTTCTGATTTCTAAACATTTCCATCAGAGATCTGGTGGCCACATTATGTTCCTTCAGGGGATTTCTCTGGCTATCCAAGTTGCCCATCAGTTTCACCCTGATTTTCCAGCAAAACATTTTTTTTAGCCTTTAGTTTGTCCAGTCACCTCTTCTTATCTGACTTCTGAACTTTCTGCAGCTGGGTCACATTCTAGAGTACATATTGCAGATGGATCCTGGCCATGTTGAGGAGGTCATTCTGTGCCATACTGCAAGAGTAGGATGTGCTAGAACAATATTTCTATTTTTGGCAGCTACATAGTGCAGAAAACAGCAGAACTCCATGGAAAATCCCTCTTTAACTTTTTAGGAAGCCTGGTTTTTAACAGAATGTAATCTGAAGTCCCTTATTTTGGGATCATAAAACAAAAGAGAGCGCATTTTCCTCCCTGGGGTCTTCAGACTAATTTCTATCGTTGTCCTGGATTCTAAATTGTTATAAATATCTTGTTCATTAGTCTAGCTGAAAAAGGGATGAGGATACTCTTTATGTCTACGTGCCAGCTGGCACACAAACATGTGACTTGCTTTCTTTTTAGCTGAGATCGTTTATAATCACACAAGCCAGGAGCTGCAGTCCTTGTAGTTTAGTTATTGAAATAGCTCTGGAGCAGGAATCAGTTTTCACAGTCCTGATTGACATATTCAGCTTTTCTTGGATTCAGCATCTACAGAAGTGAGGGGATAAGATCCAGATCCAGAGCCTAGCATCTTAATTATATTTCTCTGTTTTTCCTTTCTTTAACCCAGTTTCATTCAACCTAAATTTACTCTGAAGGGCATTTAGACATAATGGCTGGAACTGGGACAATTGCAACCCCAAATATCTGGAGGTACCAGATTACAGTACGTTGCTCATACCGGCTGAGATCACATTAATCTTAGTAAATGGGATTAAGACAGTTTCTGAGTTTGCACAATGCACTTAACCATTAACTAACCAAGCGTTCTGGATCTGTCATATTCACTAAGCTAATTTCTTTTTTTAAAAAATGAGCTGAATATGTTATGTGAACATAGCTGCTCAGTCATTAAGCATTTTATATTTGTGTTTAGCCATTATTTACTTGACGTGTAATAGCCTGAAATATCTTTTGTATGCTTGCAATGCAAGAAGCAATAGCTGTGCGAAGCAGATTACTTACCAAACTCCCAAGAGGCTGATGGTTCTATGATATCTCTAATCATTGTAGAACCTATTTCATGAAGTTAGGTTACAAATTATCATCATTGTATGCGTCATAATCATCCTCAAAAATAATTGTTTGGGACAGCATATATTTTTGTTTGTCAAAATATTTAGGAAGAATTTAGTAGATCTTAGCGCCACCTACTGATTAATTCTTTACTCCTGCCTTTTCTTATGGTTTGTCATATTCATGTTCTTCATAAAAAAGATGGACATTGTTCAGGCTTGTAGGGACAATGCTTCAGAGAATATGAAAAACAATCCACTGGAAGCTACCACCATACTTGACACTTAAAATCCTCCATTCGGAATTTGTTTCCAGTTACAGAACTGAACAGAAGTGATAGTCTTTTCATAAAAACATGTGTTTCCTAAATATTCTCCAAGCTTTTTTGTGCAATAGTTTAGTTTTGGGTCACAAAAGAAGCTCTTTTGCTGCAGGTTTTGCTAAATGTCTGGGATTCAGAAAGCCCGGCCATTTTCCTGCAAAACACCAAAGAAACTGAGTTATTTTGCCAAGGAGCACCATTGATAAGGATAAAAATATTGGTCCTCCAGGTCAAGGAGAGAAGGGTGGAATCTTTCAAAGGCCTATTTTCTTTCAGTAGTTATTCTTTTAGTTTCTGTTAAGCTGCAAATCTGCCCTGCTTTGAAAGATATTCCACTTTAGTATTTCAAATAATGGGATGTTCTTCAAAATATGAGGAATAAATTCACCTTTTGCTGTCTCTTTGTCTGTCTTTCATACCTTTAGATAGAAATTACACAAACATTTTGGGCCAAACTTCTAAGAGATCTGATGTTTGAGATGTAGCAAAAATAATAGGAGATGAAAACTTGGCCTCTCTAGATTTACTGCAACTTGGCCTGTACTTTTAAAATTGCACTGTAAGTATCATAGCTAATGCTCCTGGGTTTTATATCTTTCCTGTCCTTAGATCTGAGGAAGAACTTTGACCAGGAGCCACTGGGGAAAGAGGTGCCTCTTGATCATGAGGTCCTTTTGCAATGCCGACCTCCTGAAGGAGTGCCAATTGCTGAGGTAAACATTTAAAACTTACAGGTAGTCCTCAAACCTTACAATCTATCAGTAATCATTTGATTACTCTCCCCAAAGTGATTTACGACCCAGTTTTGAAGTTCTGACATTTGCCCCCTCCCATGGCCACATGAACACAATTTATGTCATTGTTGTCAGAAACCAGCACTTACATCCAGTTGTCTCACAGCAAACAGTGGGTTCGCTTAATGACCACTGTAAAACAGGTCATAAAAATGGGTCTGGTCCCATGGTGACCTGCTTTACAGCCATCATGACTTATGACCATAATTGCCAGACTCAATTAAGGTTGTAAATCAAGGACTACTGATACCTCATAATTACCTGCATCTGCTCATATTCTTACAATTGTAACATCTGTTTACTAAATTGCATGCCCCATTCTTTGTGTCTGGTTTATTTCTCAAAAGCTTGGGAAAATATCTTAGCCTGTATTGCAGTTACAATGCTACATGTTACTCCTTTGTAGTATCCCTATTGGTAGGTTAGGATATATCAGTACCCACTGCAAATAAATCTTGTGGGCTTTGGTACATGTCACAATCAGGCTAAGGCATGGAAGAGTTGGAAGCCTTTGTATACCCTCCATTATAAGGTAGCGCCATCTATCCACCTGCAACCAAGCCGGATTGATCTCCACATCTCATAAATCGCAATGTTCAACAGCAGCAAGCAGAAGCGCCAGACACAACCTGTGCAGAAGGCAGAACTGGCCCTTGCTCAAAGCAAAAGATATACTGTAGAAGAAGCATCAGTGTCCAATGGCAAAGATCTTGACTCGGTCATAAATTCCACTTGGTGGTCTTTGAGCCAGATTTCCTCTTACAGCCAGACGAGCCATAAAGGGATTTGTGAGAATTAAATATGGGACTGTTGCAGAAGGGCCTCAGATTTTTGAAGAAAGGGTAGAAATGTTTTCTAAGGCACAATTGCAAGCGTCCAGGTGAGCATCCCAAGAAAGAAAGAGAAGGATTCCAATGAAACATTGAACTGATTATACCAGCTTGGCAAAATTACTACCTTTCTGAGTATAGATGGGCATAATGTGAGCTGTAATCACATACATTTGGAAGGTCTGTGTTGGGGAGGACTAAAGTAGAGGTTTCTTGTTTAAAAAAAAGGTGGGACACATCTGGAGTTGGGCTTATAATTTGGAAATCCTAGGATGTTTTCTCTGTTTGTTGGATGACCATCCCTTTTTTAGATACTAAGTGTTTCTCCTAACTGATGATTCTGAGTCTGAATTTCCTCTCATGCTAGCTATGAAAATTTTTATGTTCAAGTAGTTGAGCATCACCCACAAGATATTTGTGATGTAACAGCAGCAAAGGAAACAGAAAATTTCCCCAAGGAAGAAGTTGTGTGTCCTGCCTGCAAGCTATGGAACACACTTCCCTGGAGGTTCTGCCTGGCCTCTAATCACTCAGCCTTTTAAAAATCTATAAGAATGCATCTCTTCCACCAGGCTTTTAACCGTCACTTTATTTTACTAACTATTTCCCAGTAAATTTTAATCTGTTTGCGTATTCCATTTTTGTTTTCTACAGTTAGTTAGCCTCCTTGCCAGAGTAGAAACAGAGGATATAAACCAACCACCAACCAAATAAATAAGTACATTCCCATAGTGGAATCCTGAAAGGGAGCTGATACGATTCACTCATTCATATGGTCCTATTGCGGTCAGACTAAATTTAATCGCGTTCATAATCTGGGTTTTGAGAGGTTCAATATCTTCTGTGCTTTTCAAGAGAATTAAATCACAATAGGCAAGTGGCATAGGTAAAGCAATAAACAGCCCCAAACTGAAAAAAAATAGAATAAGACATTGAATTTGGGGGCAAGGCTGCCTGTGACATAACTCAATGTTCATGGGCAGAAGACAGCATGGCTACATAATCTCTGGAGATCCAGGGTTGCTTGCCTGGGAAAAATGCTGGGGAAAAAATCTGGACCAAATTTTAAAGCACCAGAGTTGAGGTTCTCTGTATCTAAATCTTCCTTGATAATTGTAGAGTTAATCCACCTAGACGTGCTAGGAAAATACAGGTAGTCCTCAGTTTATAACAGTTATATTAAGTGACCATTTGAAGTTACAATGGCATTGGAAAAAAAGTAATTTATGATCATTTTTCCACACTTAACAACCATTGCAGCATCCCCATGATCATGTGATCAAAATTCAGACGCTTGGCAGCTGACTCATATTTATGACAGCTGCCGTGTCCCTGGGTCATACGATCACCTTTTGCAAACTTCTTATAAGCAAAGCCTGATTCTCTTAGCAACCGTGTTACTAACTTAAGAACTGCGGTGATTCACTTAACACCTGGGGCAAGAAAGGTCGTAAAATGGGGCAAAACTCACTTAAAAACTGTCTTGCATAGCAACAAAATTTAGGGGCACAATTGTGGTCGTAAGTTGAGAACTACCTTTCCTTTCTGATTCGTCAGTTCAACTGTTTCCTTACCTCCCACAGAAGTTTGTAATATCTCATTAGGTATATTGGTTTAGGAAGATATACATCTCCTGACTTACCTTCCTTCTTTCCTTCCTTCCTCTATTATTAATAATATTTTTTTAATTATTATTAATAAAAAAATTCTGATCGTTGAGATATATTTTCTTCTAATTGCCAGCAGTTGGTAATGAAAAACCTCCCGCCTTCCTCCCACAGCTGGGCACATCTGTGCTTTCCCTTGAAGATGCCTATGCCTTGAGAAGGTGAATAATGATAGGGAAATGTATCACTTTCCCCATTGTAGATTGTTAATAAATCATATGAAGTTTCAGCTTTACCCAGAATTTCTGCCCAGCCGCCATCTTCTTCCTTCAGTTTACACTTCTCAGATGCAGATTTGTTTCCTCAAGTCTCTACAACTGCAGTAAAATTCCAGCTGTGAATGTTGGCACCTAGCAGACAGATGTTTATGATCCAAAATGAGCCTGTTAGGGAAATGAGTTGCCAGGTGATGATGGAGTGGGATTGTGATGGATAGCACCACGCTGGCCCCCCCCCCCCCCGTCTGTTTTCATTATTCAGCAGAAGTGTTTATTTTAGGCAGTGGATCTGTTATTCTGACATCTAATAATGTGCTTAACCTCAACACCTGTTCCATCCTGCCACCTACATAGGCTGATCAGCCATTAACCCCTGACAGAATTTAGTAAAGAAAACACTGAACAAATTGTTTGCAGAGAAGGGGATAGAAAAAGAACCATTAGCACTTGGCAAGATCAACAATCCCTGGACTTTTCCTCTGGACGTAATTTCTTCTGCTCTGCTGCAGACTTTGGTTCTCAGTGAGATCTGCACAAAAAATGGTGCAGTGCAGGAGCTGGGCAGTTGCTCAGACTGGTTCCTCTTTCTCCAATAAAGGCTGCTAAGTTTCAAGAATGGGTACATTATGTCACATGGAGGAGATGTCCAAAATCTATTGTCTCTCTATATTTTGTCACGGTTGGGATAAAGGATTGGTTCCATTCTGGCACTAAATGTGCATAGAATCTGGAGCATGAGAGACTACCATCATAATGTCTTGATGGTTCTGCAGCAAACTTTCAGTTCCAGGAACAATTCTAGTTTAATTATTTTTTCAACATGTCACTCATATGGTCTAGAAGCTTAGAGCAAATGTATATAGTAGTAATTGATTTTGCATTTCCTTCTTTCCCTTCCTCCCTCCCTCCCTTTTCCTTCCCTTCCTTCCTTCCTTCCTTCCTTCCTTCCTTCCTTCCTTCCTTCCTTCCTTCCTAGATTTTCTTTGTCTAGGGATGGATTATTGAACAGAGCCCTGGCTTGAGAATCATGACTTTCACAATATGACTTTGGCACAATTAGGCAAAGCAGAATATAAATGCAGCCAAGTAATGATCTGGTCTTTGCTACTTTGCAAACAAACAGCCAGACAAATTAACCATTCCAGACCCAACCATTTGAAAACAAAGTTAAAAATAGAATTGCCTGTACGTAAGAAAAACCATCCTTTCTCAAATAATGAGCAAAACCAGGTGCATTTTAGCATTCTTTCTCTATAACATCTCTTCCAGTTTACTGAGCTATCATTTTATGGTAATTGCTTGCAACAGCATGAAATAATTCTGTACATACCTCTCATGCCATGTTTCACATGTTGGAAGCACCAGTTAGGGCTTTCTATTATGTGTTACGTAAGACAAGAAGCCATTTGTACTTGCTGTGTGTATTGACCTCTACAACTCCTCATCAATTTTGGGTGGCAAATTGCTCAGACTACTTAGGCGAGGCTATACTTCAAAGACAATCACAAATTTACAATTTTAATCTGCTGTTGGAGTAGAAGGAACTATTTTGGGCAGGGATCTAATTTTTATTTCTGATGATAAGAGTTGTGAATGTCTTTTCCTTTGTTTTCTGCCTGTCCCAACCTTTTATCACCTGTTATTTTTTTTTCTCTTTCCAAAACTTAATATAGGTGGAGTGGCTGAAGAACGAGGATGTGATTGATGCTTCCCAGGATACAAACTTCCTGATAACCATAGATAACAATCTTATCATCAAGCAGGCTAGGCTTTCTGACACAGGCAACTACACCTGTGTGGCAAAAAACATTGTTGCTAAACGGCGGAGCACCACAGCTACAATCATTGTTTATGGTAATGATTTGTTGAAAACTTGGGTGGGAGTCTGAGTGCGGGAGAATGTGAGGAATATAATTTGTTGCAGTTGCTGATCTTACAAAAGTTAAACAAGTTCAGACTCGTTATACTGGGAAACCATCAGGAAATATAAGGGATATCGGCTAGACTTAGAAGATAAAATACCATACCAGAAATAGGTAGTGGAAAACCAGTTCTATGTTGTTGCTAAGAAAACAGCATGAACACATCTAAGAAGTTGTTAGGGGTTGCACATGACTCAAAGGAGACTACTCTATCTTTAGTTTATTTGGTTTATGCAAACCTATGAGAAGCAGGCATTTGAAATGTGACCCAATCTTGTGCATTGCTCATTCAGAACCAAATCTCATTGATTTCATGAGGATTTCTAGCCTTGCAAGCACGCATGAAATTGCAACATAGGTCTTTGGTTTAATAAACAACTAGGTACATTTAACAAAGATGTACAAAAGACTTTCACATTTCTTGAACGGAAGCAGGGAATAGGCAACTCAGAGAAGAAAGGATGCTATTTCTGGTGAAATTTACAGGACTGCTTGGAATAACTTATAGAATCAATCATTTCCCATTCTTACCACATGGAACCCAATTATGATATACTAGTAACTGCCCTGGTTTATTATCTGAAATATGAAGAGCAAGCAGAAAGCATCTTAGAATCAACATGAAGAACGTCTTTGCTGGATGTTCTTCTCTCTCAACAGATTTATCTTAATTGCCTTTATTCATTCTCTCCATAGACTAGGATTTCCAAACAGATATTCAGCAGCAATTCTACTTTTAAGATATGAATTTTTCCTTCTGTTACCAGGATTTCCTGAGGACTAAGCCTGGCATCTTTGTGTATTGATCTTTGTTACTTTTCCTAATTCTCTGAAGGATTTTCTCAATTTAATTTCTTTAGCCAATACCAAATTCTCAACAAATTCTGACCATATTCCTAGAGTTCTGTTGAAATGTGTATTCCTCTACTTTCCATATATGATTGGGGGCTAGTTCTCATATTATCTCAGAAATAGCCCCCTTTGGTTTTGACTTATCCTTATCCTCTTGATTATAAGAAACCAAGTAATATCTTCCAGAAGAATGTTCATAATAGCTAGGACAACCATTATGATGAACAACTGCTGCATGTCTAAGAAGATGCCTACAGTATAGAACAGGGGTCTTCAAATATGGCCCTTTTATGACTTGTGGACTTCAACTCCCAGAATTCCATGTAGTTATTGCCTGTGGCAAAATGGCAGTGTATGATTTCACTGAGAGAAAAGATGACTTGTTAGGAAGTTGTGTTTCAGTTTTTTCCCTCACTTTGTTTTTGTTTCCTTTTTCACTCCTAGTGAATGGTGGCTGGTCTACCTGGTCAGAATGGTCTTCATGCAGCAACCGTTGTGGCCGTGGATGGCAGAAACGTACACGCACCTGCACCAATCCAGCACCACTCAATGGTGGCTCTATTTGTGATGGACAATCTTTCCAGAAGATTGCCTGCAGTACCATGTGCCCAGGTAGGTACATAGGGGGAGGATATTCCTTTTCAGTTTCTTTGCATGAATTCTGCACTCATTTGTCCTCTTTAAGGAGGCTAATAATGATGTTACTAAGAGTTGAGCCTCTAATCTTGAATTATGAGTTTCTGTCATAAGGAAAAAGATGACTCATTTTTTAAAATACTGTATTTCCTTTACTCTTTTGGATCTGAAGAATGGTCAACCTGCTCTTTTGCTCCTCTGAAGCAATTATTTGCAGCTTGCTCCTGACTTTACTTCTTGACCAGCAAAGTCTCAACTATTTTTATGAATATTTGCCTTCCTGTGCTGTCCTGCTCACACACACACACACACACACACACACACACACACACACACGCACACACATAACTGTGCTTTAGTGGGTAACCCAGAACTGTTCCAGTTAAGTCCAGCCACAAGCAGACTACAAGAGGCTTCACAAAGCAAGAAAAATCCAGAGTTCACAAGGTCTGATCCAAGTCAAGGTACGGTGTCAATCCAAAGCAAGGCGAGAATCACAATGATCAGAAAACACACAGTTAGGAAATGAACACATTGTTCTCAGCATTGCTTCCAACTGTCTGCTGTGCTAAATAGCCAGCTTCTGATGCAGCCCATCAAGAAGGCCAAGGCTTTCTCCTCATGAGTAATCTGGTTGACCTTCTCTGCTCCTGCCTTTTCTCTTCCCTATGTGTTCTTGGATCAGGTGCAGAAGGCAATTCCTCTTCCTCATCACTGACCAGCTATAGCTGCATGCTTTCCCCACCCGAAGCCTCAGGGCTGTCATGCTGCAGTTGTGCTTGAACCAAATCCTTCTCAGACAGGTGCTTGGAGCCATTAACCAATTCCCCTCCAGATGTGCCTAGAACTGGTTCATCTTATATATATATAATTCTCATAATCTCCTGTAAATGTCACAGCATCTGCTAGCAGCAAGATCAGTGGTGGGATTCAGCCGGTTCACACCGGTTCAGGAGAACCGGTAGCTAAATTTACCTGAATTTGGAGAACTGGCTGAACATCCAGTCTAGGCCTCAGAGGCCTGGAGGAGGCCTCCCAGGCCTAGAACAGCCCACCAGAAGTGCATGATGCCACTTCCGGAAGTCCATTCTAGGCATCGGAGGCCCAGGCCTGCATCAAATATGAGAACCAGTTGTTCAGGTATTTGAATCCCACCACTGAGCAAGACATATTGTTCCAAAGTACTGGCAAAAAGAACAATCTTCTTACACTTGCGGCCTGGAGAGACAAAATAGGATAAACATTATAGTAAGGAAAACAGTAAAAGCTGCTTTGTGAGAATCCAGGACATTTTAATCTAGTTACTGTTTTTTTCCAGCTTCAGGAGTAAAATGCATGTAGTTTATGACAGAATACTGGACCCTAAGATAAATCATGCTGCAAAATGCATTTGCTTGATGAATTTGTTCCATTTGGTATGGATTTTGAATTTATATCTTATGATAAATTGAGATTAGAATTTGCAAATGTTGCAAGAACACTTTGAGGTAGCCAAAATTATGACCTATGAAGTAGAACGTTTTTATTTTAGATTACATATATCCCCTTTATCCCACCAGATAACCATAGGCAGATCTTGGTGTCTTAGCCCACCCAGCTAATAATAAATTGCATAAATAAAAAAGAAATTATTCTCAGTCTGGGAGAACTCTAAACAGTGTACATATACTGAAATTAAAGCAATTGCAACATTATAATCATGATTTCAATGCAAAATTCAAAACTTAATACCAGCCTTGATCAGCAGCAAAAAAAAAAAAAACCAATCAAAAGCCTTCTGGAATAGCCCATTTGACAAGCTTCCCCCTTTTATGCCTATGGATTTCTGATTAGTTTTTTCTGTGCTCATGTGCTCTTTTTGGGGGGGGAATGCAGTCGATGGAGCTTGGACTGAATGGAGCAAGTGGTCAGCCTGTAGCACCGAGTGCACGCACTGGAGGAGCCGAGAATGTATGGCCCCATCTCCCCGAAATGGAGGCAAAGATTGTAGCGGCGTCCTGCTTGATTCCAAAAACTGCACCGATGGGCTCTGTATGCAAAGTGAGTCAATACGCAGAGGCTGGGAAAGAGGGCTAAGATGAAGAGTCAGTAACGTTCATGGTGATGATTGAGATCTTTTTAAGACCTTGTAAACTATGAGACACCTGCCGTGAGGCACCATTGGTAAGACATGATTGCTGAATCTGTCTGCTCCCAGCTTCTCTAGGATAGTTTTAATGTTTTAGCCTAAACTAGTCCTTTGACCACAAATTGCTGCATCACTTGTAGGATAAAGTTCATGCTTGCAAATCTGGAACATTATATATTTACAGAGTAATGCTGAGGTTCAAATTCCTACTGAGTACTTTCTAGCAGCAAGCTGTGTGTTCATACTATGTTCTGCATAAAACAAGCCATTTTACCAGCCTTTTCAGTGAATAATTTCTGGAAGGTGATTTGGGATCTCAGGTAGGAGCAATTTGTAAGGATACATGCTTTGGGATTGAGCTGTAGATACTGAAAGTCAATGGAAACAAATTTCACGTACTTGTGGCTCAGTTAGCAATTGCTTGAAACTAAAGTTGGCATCACTCAAAAGAATCTCATCTTCGTTATACAGATAGTCCTTGAGTTATGACCATAATGAAGCCTGTCCATTTTGGTTGTAAATCAAAACAATTGTAAAATGAGAAATTCTATGGCAGCTCTCGTAAAAGAAATGCTGTGTTCCGTAAGTGAACTTCAATGGTTATTAAGTGAGCCAATGATTATTGATGCAACTTGGCCAAACACTGGAAGTAACTGCCAATTTTTGGCAAAACCATAATAAAATATGGTCATGTGACCATGGGTGTGTGTGTGTGTGTGTGTGAGAGAGAGAGAGAGAGAGAGAGAGAGAGAGGGAGGGAGGGAGGGAGGGAGGGAGGGAGGGAGGGAGAGAGAGAGAGACCATCAGAACTTCAGTTCCAAGTTACCTTTTTTGGGCCAAATAGTAAGGACTGATCAAAAGTCAAGAACTACCTGTATTTCATTAAAAATGAACATTTGTGTGATCTGCTGACTAATTTTCTTCTGGGAGATACATCATTTAAAAAAAGCCAAGACAATGACTGTATAGTGAAAATTAGTGAATAAAGTACCTCCGCTTCTTGACAAATTTTGAGTCACAGTCTTGAAGATTAATATTCTGCAACCAACGTGTAAGTATCATTCTTGATATATTTGCCCCTCTATTTAACATTCCTTGATATTAATGCAGGCGAAAGGGCTATTAGGTAGAGCTAAATGCTTCTATAAGAGAATAGCAGGCATTTCATCTGAAAATAACGTATTGGGTTTGTTTTTTACACCTCAGCATACAAGATTATTTTTGCATCAGGTCTCAGATTAAAGGATCAGGAATAAGCCGTGATATATTTATTTGGCTGGTTAGTTTCAATGAGTTTGTGAAATTTTCAGTACAGGTAGTCCTCGACTTATGACCACAATTGAGCCCAAAATTTATGTTGGTAAGTGAGTTTTGCCCCATTTCATGACTTTTCTTGCTACAGTTGTTAAGTAAATCATTGCAGTTGTTAATTAGTAACCCAGTTGTTAAGTGTATCTGGCTTGCCCATTGACTTAGCTTGTCAGAAGGTCACCCCCCCCCAAAAAAAAATCACATGAAGCCCGGGACACTGCAACCGTCATAAATATGAACCAGTTGCCAAGCATCTGATTTTTAATCACAGGACCATGGGGAATGCTGCAATGGTTGTAAGGATGAAAAACAATCATAAGTCACTTTTTTTAGTGCCGCTGTAACTTTGAACAGTCACTAAATGAATTGTTGTAAGTCCAGGACTATCTGTACGTCACACTAATTAATGTTACTGCTTTCCCAGCATACACTTTGGTAGCATCAGGAATGTTGTCAGGCAGCTGCACTCTGCAGCAAATACCTACTTCAGTATTATAGTTCTTTAGGGCTTCAGGTGTAACTTGGAAAGGAAGCTGTTGGACCGTATCCTCTGTCTGGTTTGCACATTTACAGATGATCCATAATCTCACGGTAAGCCAGCCAGTAGCTGGTCCGTCACAAAAAAGCGGCAGGCCAAGTGAGCGTTAGTGTTTTTAACCTATAGCTTTTGTGTGGTCCAAATCCATCTGTTCTAAATAAAGTCGGGAAGAACAGAAGAGCCAATATATTTATTGCTCCCATTTGAGAAATACAAATAAATTACCTGATGAAGCAAAAGACCAAACTTTGCTTCCGTAAATGTCTCTGAGTTTTTTTAATGAGCAAACTTTCAACACTCAGATGGATTGTTTTCCCTGCGTGTCGGTGCTGCCACCTGCTGTTGTCACATGTACTTCTTTTGTGACAACACATTGTTTTGCTATCCTAGAATACCATCCCTTGAAGCATGCCTCTGCAGTTTTAAATAAAGCTGTTGAATTGATCCATTGTGGAATTGATCCATTGTGGCACATAGTAGGGGAAAGAAGAGATCAGATTCTCAGTCTTTGCACAAAACCTATTATATAACAATATGATTGGAAATAAATGGAGCCTCTTTGACAATTGCTGACTCTGGGGAAGTTCATGGGTGGAGAAAATTAAGGCATCATAAGAGCCAAAGTCAGGGGGCATTTGCTGCCATATGCAACATCACACCATGCAAGCTAACTGCTGGTAGTTAATTAATTCTTAGCAGAGGAAAGGGTACTGAAAAGAAAATACCCAATGCTACAATACTGAGAATATTCATTATATTGAAAATACTACAATATTCAGAGATGCAAAAAGATCACTTTTCCTCCCAATCAATAAATTATCTCCAAAAGCATTGGCAGGGAAGGTCAGAAAGTCAAGATGGTGAACTCAACTGATAGAAACCATAGGCCTTTTCTAAGTATGTGCAAAAAAGGGGTTGCAGTGGCTCAGCAATTAAAGATGCTGAGCTTGTCAACTGGAAAGCTGATAGTCCAGGTTCAAGACCTGAGTGCCACGTGATGGGGTGAGCTCTCTTTACTTGACCCAGCTCCTGCCTACCTAGAAGTTCAAAAGCATGCAAATGTGAGTAGATAAATAGGTACCACTTCAATGGGAAGGTAACAGTGTTTCATGTCCCTCAGCGTATAGTCATGCTGGCCACATGACCACAGAAATGTCTTTGGACAACGCTGGCTCCTTTGGCTAAGAAACAGAGATGAGCACCCCCCCCCCCCAGAGTCAGGCACAACTAGACAGGGGAAACTTTTAGGTATGTGCAAATACATGTATAATATAAAAAGGGATGGAGCTTCAATCATGTGCTCATGTCCATCAACTTGATTTTTTTTATTGGCCCCACAGCTGTACCCACTCTTTCCTATATAGGAACCGAACAGAGATGAATGAATAAAATCTGAATTAGCACTACAAAGTTCATGCTCTTCTCTCCCATACCACTGACAAAGAAGAATATAATGCACAAAAAATTGTCTTGATGAATACTTTAGTCTTTAAAATGCCATAAGATTCTTCATTGTGTCTCTACAAAAGATGTATTTGGAGTGTCTCTCTTTCAAGATGGATGTGATGGGCTCAGAAGGGCACGTGGAATGTTATAGATCACAAAGGAATTTCTAATGTAATGTGCAAACCAGATAAATGACACTTCAACTAATCTGAGCATTGTTTAATAGTTTTACATTTTGATGGCTGCCAACCTGTGTCCAAAATTGTATCAGTGAGATACAATTTTGAGTAAGTATGCATATTGATGGCCTCTAAACCATCAAGTAGATGGGTAGGTAGGTAGGTAGGTAGGTAGGTAGGTAGGTAGGTAGGTAGGTAGGTAGGGATGGATGGATGGATGGATGGATGGACAGATGGACGGACGGACAGAGAGATAGACAGACAGAATAGAAATACCTCAGGTTACAAAATGTTATAAAAATGAGCCATCTTATTTCTTTTCAGTCTAGGTCCATAGTGGCGAACCTATGGCACGCGTGCCACCTGTGGCACGCAGAGCCCTCTCTGTGGACACGCACACCATTGCCCCAGTCCTAGACCTTCAGCTGGATTTTATAAAACCTTTTTGCTTTAGGCCTCCGCCACTGTGTGCAAAAAAAAAAAGGTTCAATCAATCAATTTCAGCTTCTTGCGGGGAAAAAAAAAGATCTTGCAAAGTTGGAATTGATTGATTGAACTTTTTAGTCCCATCCAGTCTGCCGTTACTATCACAGCCATGCCCACTCAATGGGCCACACCCACCCGGCACCCGATGATACATAAGTGGGTTTTGGGTTAAAGTTTGGGCACTCGGTCTCTAAAAGGCTCGCCATCACTGTGTTATGTCATATCACTGGGAGAAATCCTTGTAAAGATATTAGTTTGACAATAAGTTGGCAAATTTAGTTTACATGGAGCTCTAAAAACATAGGACATATTTTAGAGTTATAGACTCAAATTGCATTTTGTTGAGATAGAGAATGTAGATTCTCTATTTTAACAGCAATTAAAAAGAATATCAGTATACTTTTTCTTATTGAGAAACAGGAAAACAGAAAATCAGAATTAATGATTCTGTTGGTTTTCCTCCAGTTTTCCTAACATGCAGCTAGATCAGAATTGTTCTACAGCTTCAGTTTGCTATATTGCACTTAAGCAGCTATGTTCCAATTCAGTAATATGTGGGCAGTTTTGATGTTTGTTAGTTTGATCTATATAAGGGAATCTCAAGAAAAAAATGTAAAAGAGCCAGGTTTAGTGTCTAGACACAAAACCGTGTACAGGAAACTAATCAAATAGGTGGAACGTATTGATATACACGTGTAATTGCATAAACACCTTTGATCATGAAAGTGGGAAGACAGGATAAATGAGAAAGGAGACAGTTTGTACTTTGGCACAGATGAGTTATTAGACGATGCATATCTCTTTAACAAGAAATATTATGAGCTTTAGGACAAGAGGAGACAACTCTGAAGCAGAAAAGACAACAAGGACTCTAAGAAAGCATAGCTTCCCTGAATAATTGCCAGAAGCAAATGACATGGAATTATTGCTTCTCTGGTTGAATGCTTAGATTTGCTGTGTCTTGTTATTTACATTCTAAGGTAGACATAGAAGTATTTAAATTGTGTATATGCTGATTCATATCTCTTGATGTACATGTAGCAAAAATGACTGTAATTTAAATAGAAATGCAGTGTAACATGCCCATGTGGAAATGGTGACTGAGTGAACTGTATAGGTGCTCATAATGAAGGGGCTGCTAAGACTACCTGACAGGTCTTTTATACTGCACAAGATGGTTTTTAAGCAGAGGATTCTTTAAAACAGTAGAGCTCATGTCCATCACATGATGCTGCTCTTGGGTTCTACTTAAACACTGCTTAAAAGGTAAAGGTGGTGCAGCAGCTGTATGAAATGCCAATTTTCTTTTAATACATGATTTTCTTCTGCATGTAGTTTTTATGTTCCATTGTGTTTCAGTTTCCATCCTTCCTTTTTCCTTTAGGTTTGCTGGAAAGGGTGGGGGATAATCAGCCTTTTGTTTTCTGTTATTACCATCATCATTGTCATGTCATCCTCATTTTTCAACTTTTTTTTTCCTTTAACTTTTTTCCTCTAACAGATAAAAGATTTGTAAGCGAACCCAAAAGTCACCGTAAGTCTCCATTTCACAGTCATTTCTTTTCATTGTTCTGAATTCAAGTGGTTGGATAACATTGGGTGGGAGTTTTTTTTATAAGTGTTTCTACTTCTCTGGTGTCAAGGTACTCCTGAAGAAGCTTCACTGAAGGAATAGTTCTTCATAGCTTTAGAGAGGATCAAGAGGGACAAATACAATTGAAGGAAAGCTTGGAGATGTAGCCATAAAATAAATCCATCAAAGGTCCAATGGATTTTGCAAAAGCAAAAGGTTTATTTTTTAGAGTCAAAGGCATTTTTACTTTAAATTTGGTAGCTGAGATACAACAGTCTTCACCTCAGTATTAAAATTGAATTATTAAAAGCCAGGCCCCAGAAAGAAAGAGAAATACATAAATCTCTTGCCTTCAAGATTTCCCAAAATACTCACTTTAATAATTCAAGTCTTTTTGTTCCTTCATTTCTTAAAAAGGTGATAATAATGCTCCAGTTAACTGCTCAGTAAAAGGAGAAGGCTCTATTATTGGGGCCTTGATTGCAAAAGTACTGGTATGATTGAGAGAAAGTAGTAATTAGTCTTAATTATATTTGCACTATTTATAATTATAACGGGATTAGCTGGACATCTCCCTCTGAGGTTAGAGAAAGCCTCCCGCTGTGAAAGAGAAATTCTAGCATCTAGAATTTTTTCTTCTAGTTCTGTGCCATTGCCTGGAAACTCTTGCATTGGACAAAACATGGAGTATGTTAAGACCAGAATCCTAAGTGGTTCTAAACTAGTTTTCTTCTTTTTCTTGCAAAAACACAACTGGAAGGCTGAAGAGATCTCTCTGCCCTGCTTTCCTCTCTGTTGGACTGCCAACTCACATGAGGCTTTGACTTCCTTTCCCAAAATACCATACTATACCCTGACACATCTTTTCTAGCTAGATAAATAAATAATAGCAACATACTCAGTTCTGAGTAGATCCTCCAGAACTATAGGTAGTCCTTGACTTGCAACAGTTCATTTAGTGACTGTTCAAACGTAGGATGGCCCTGCAAAAAGTGACTTATGACCATTTTCACATTTATGACCGTTGCAGCAACCCCATGGTCACATGATCAGAATTCAGGCACTTGGCAACTGACTCGTATTTATGACGGCTGCAGTGCAACCTTCCAACAAGCAAAGTAAATGGGGAAGCCGGATTCACTTAACAGTCTTGTTGCTAACTTAACAGCTGCCCTGATTCCCTTAACAACTGTGGCAAGGAAGGTCACAAAATGGGGCAAATTTCACTTTTAATAACTCACTTAGCAACAGTTGTGGTCATTGAGGACTGCCTGCAATAGAAACATATTCAGTTCCATGCGTATCTTCCAGAACTATATTTCACTTAAATCTTCACAAGATTGAATTCAACAAAATCCCAGTAGAGAATCCAACCAAACTGTGGGCTTTCTCCCTGTAAGAATCTTTTCCTCTCTTAACTTGGGTCTTCTTTTTCTCCTTTCCCTGATTTTTTTCTTGGCCACCAGTAACTTGTCGATGGCTTGTAGGCAGTGGTGGGATTCAAATATGTGAATAACCGGTTCTCTGTGTGGATGCCACTTCCAGCAGTCCATTCTGGGCCTGGGCAACAAAAAATTAGCTACCGGTTCTGCCAAAGTGGTGTGAACTGGCTGAATTCCACCACTGCTTGTAGGGCATCTGCCAGGCCTCCCCCCCCCCCGTTTTTTGTTTTGTGGGAATTGGGAGTGTTCCTGTCAGCCCTTCCCTTTGCCAACCTCTGAGGGGAATTTTCCATAGCGGCTGCTCTCGGAGGCTATAAAAGATCAAAGCATGTGCTCTCAATTGAACATGCAGCATAAAATGTGGTCATTGGTTCTGCTTCAGGGGGATCCGGCATAGAATAATTTTCATCATTATTAATTTAGGGCTTTTCCCTCCTCCTCCTCTAAAGTCCATTAAAAATCAAATGAAGGGTTAGTAAAGATTAACACTGTATCCTGATAGGTTTCCGGGATATGGGATAGATTTGGAGCTGTCTCCGAAAACTTTTACACTCTAATCCCCTTGCCTGTCTTTATTCCCACTCCAAAATTCTTTATTTTTGTGAAGCGTGAAGAGCCATTCCTTAGTTCATGGACAGGCCATAGATGTTGCTAAACTAGAACTCCTTCATTATTGGAAAGAGGGGAAGTTGTACTCAGCAACATCTGGATATTACAGTTTCACCACATCGATCATCATATTCAACCTTCCACTCCCACATTTTTCTTTCTTTTATCAGATTTAAGATTGGCATCCTTTGGTGTAGGGCCATACATCTTGATGCTATATTCATCTGTAATTCAGAATAAAGTTTTCTTGATGCACCCAGGTAGTGTTAAACAGGGTTTCAAGAAGACGTTTCCCATCGTCACTTTCCGGGCTCTTTGATTTATTTGCATTACTAGCCACTCTGTCCTACAGCCAGGGATTTCCTGCTGGATGTTTATATAGAAATTAAATGGGTTTGTCCCTGGTTAGCTTTGCAAAATCAACCAAGGTTGACAACAGGCTGCCATTTGGTTGGGCATATATATATCATAATAACACTAGGGTAAATATTATATGGACGCACTGCAGGAAGATTACATGTCCTTACCAGCGTTAGTCATAAATATATACTCCAACCTCTATGCTACCTGATCTGTATTTCACATTGCACTGAGACTGGTGGAGCGAGGAATTACTTTAGTAACAGCTAATGATGGAAACCAGACAGGAGTGTTCCTCTGTATGTCTTTACTCCTCTTTATAAAATCCCCTCCATAGAAAATGTGTATTTTAAATTACCAGTTACTTCTCCTTCATTTCACTTCAATATTCCTGCTGTCCCTTTATGAAGAATCTCCCAGAGGACCACACACCATGATAAATACAGCCCAGATATAATTGCAGCATAAAAATCTCCTTAGTTCTGCTCCATATATTCTGCCTCACAGAGAAGGAGACTCCAGGACACTTGTGGCGAAACAAATCCAGAAAAGCAGCCAAGAATTTAAAAGAACGGGGATGGGGGTGGGGTGTGGGGGAATTGGAGTAGGTCATGTGAATGTTAGAGTCTTTGTTGTGCCTGGAATAAATCATCAGCTTAAATAAAGGTGAGATGAGGCCTCTTTGTAACGTTTTGAAAATAGCCAAAACCTAATCACAGCTAGAAAAAAAAATGTACCCTGGATATTCCACTGGCATTTAAGTGCTGTAGTCTTTATTTTCCTGGTTCTGATTGGCAAAAGGCAACTGGACTTTCATGGACTTTTGGGAAAAGCACTTTTGAGACTCTGACTTTTATATTTGTATAGAAAGTTTATAAATTAGGAACTGAGCAAAGAGAAAGTGACAACTCTGTCTAATCTCTCTATCTCTCTCCCTAGTACTGGAGGCATCTGGTGATGTGGCTTTGTATGCTGGCATAGTGGTGGCCATTTTTGTCTTCATTGTTATCTTGATGGCTGTTGGGCTGGTTGTGTATAGGCGAAACTGTCGGGATTTCGACACGGACATAACTGACTCCTCTGCTGCATTAACGGGAGGCTTCCACCCAGTTAATTTCAAAACTTCCAGAAATGGTAAGATCCATCTTGATCAACTATGAACGTAGCATCATGGCGTTTGTACCTTCTGTGTATTTGTGAATTTTCTCAGACAGATAGACAGAGGACAAATCAGAGATTTAGACTGATGCCTGCTTTTTTCAACCTGGACTGAATGGGCTTGTTTTCTTTACACAATAGAGTTGGGTTTTTCATTTAAAACAATAAGTATATTAACAAAAAGGATTAAATAAAATAGGGTAAAGCAAATAGCTATGGTAGGGAAGGAGGAGGAGGAGGATCCTGTTAAGTAAAAATATCCTTGGTTTCATATGATTATGAGATAACTTTCTCCATCCATTTGTACTAATGATAATTTCATTGGCAGAACTGTTCATCTTATGAAGACATTTATTGCTACAATGCCAACTTCTTTAGATAAGTTTTAATAGATAAAATGCTTCTTTTTCTTCTGTGTATCGGTTTTCATAGGAGAAATTTGTGGTATTGCTACAGAAAAAAAACTCATGACACTGTAAATATGAAATAAAATAGCCCTTTTCAACCTGATGTCCAAGTATATTGGACTGAAGACCCTATCGTCATAGTTAACATTAAAAAGGAAAATGTAATCTAACATATATCTGGAAGGTACCAGATTAGACAAGGGCCAGCATAAATATCTGCAAACCAGTGATTGCATCAGATTGGAAATTCAGATTTCATCTGATGAAATGGAATCAAGTCCACAAAAATTTCTGCCATGATCAATATGTTAACATTGAAAGATTCCAAAGAATGCTCCCATGTTTTTTTGCATCTTAAATATTATACAGATTAGATATTTTAATATTTTATCAAATCTATGCTTGAGTATGCCATTGGCATAAATTCTATGAAATACATAAAGTTAACAGATATGCCATTGAATATTTAGTAGCTTGTTTAACTAATCAGCACAAAAGCTACAAGTTAAAATTTCAATGTTTCTATTCTTTCCTATTTTAGGGCAACAAATTTGTTATTGACCACAGCAGTGGTAATCAAGATTCAGATTTGATTTACTATTTAGGCAGGGTTTTTTTTCCTCAACTCATTATAAGATGAAAATAGTTGTGGTTAATTTAATGTGTGCTCTTATTATATTACATTTGCCATTGGAAATGCTTGCAGAGCTTTTTCTGCCTTTATTTTCAGATACCCCCCAGTTGCTCCATCCTTCAGTGCAACCTGATCTAACTGCCAATGCTGGTGTGTATCGTGGTCCTATGTATGCCTTGCAAGATTCTTCAGACAAGATCCCGATGACCAACTCTCCGTTGCTTGATCCGCTCCCTAATCTCAAGATCAAAGTGTATAATTCCTCCACGGTACCCTCGTCCTCTGGGATGCACGAAGGGGCAGACCTGTTAGGAGCCATGCCCCCGGGCTCCTTCCCAGGAGACAGCTACAGGGATAATCATTTCATGAATCTAAGAAACAAAAGTATGGGCTCCCAGCAGCTTCTGACTCTGCCTCGAGATCCTGGGAATAGTGCCACAGGGACATTTGGCTGCCTGGGAGGAAGGCTCATCATCCCTGGTGCAGGTATGTCAGGGAATTCATAGCTTTTCATAAGATGAAGACTCAGTCCAGTGATGAAGCACAGTCCAAGAGAATAGCAGAATAGGCTATTTTGGAGCCATTAACTGATTGATTATGTGACATTAAGTCGGTTAAAAAAAAAGGTTTCCTTTGCCCAGTTATGTCTGACTCTAGGGGCAGTGCTCATCTTTATTTCCTAGCTGAGGGAGCCAGTGTTGTCCAAAACTGCTTCTGTGGTCATGTGGCCAGCATGACTATATGCGGAGGCACGTGGAACGCTGTTACCTTCCCATCAGAGTGGTACCTATTTATCTACTTGGATTTTGCATGCTTTCAAACTGCTAGGCTGGCTGGAGCTGGGGCAAGAACAGGAGCTCATCACACCACTACTTGGGTCTTGAACTGCCAACCTTCTGGTCAATAGCCCAATGTTTTAATCACTAGGCCACTGCATCCCCATTACATTAAGTCAGTGCATAACCTCAACATGTCTTCCACAGGCGTACCCATTGCCAGTGTAACTGAGTCCAGCCACTTTGCTGCTCTTTCCTTCCATCTTTCTCAGTGTTAAAGCTTTCTCTAGAGAATTAGATTTTTTTTATAATGTATCTGAAGTAAGATAATTTGAGCCTGGTCATTTGTGTCTCTAATGAGAACTTTGATTTGATTTGTTTGTTGATCCATTTGTTTTCTTGGCTGTCCACAATATTCTTAGGAGTCAGCATGCATAAGGCTTTGGCTTCTCTTCTCTTTTATGCAATTTCCAGATGTTTATTCTGACATCTACTTTGACTTCTTCTGTATCTTCATCTTTAGAGACTGTTTTCATGTTCATCCTTAACAGCTCGTTTAAGCTCATTCTACAGTTCCTCTGGTACCTTGTCAATGAGATTCCAGAGATTCAGGATTCCAAGGTGATTCCTGGTGGTCTCCTTGAATTTCAGAACCATGGACAGCTTTAAACATATACATACACTCCACTGAGGACTCTGAGCCCAATTGAATCTTTACTGTTCAGACAGTCCTTGACTTATAACCATTCGTTTAATGACCATTCAAAGTTATAACAGCATTGAAAAAAGTGATATAACCATTTTTCACAATTAACAATCATTGTAGCGTCACTATGGTCACATGATCAAAATTCAGGTACTGTTCTTGTCAACTGGTTCATATTTATGTACAGGGTCATATAATCACCTTTTGCGACCTTCTTAACAAAGCAAAGTCAATAGGGAAGCCAGATTCATTTAAGAAGTGTGTTACTAACTTAACAACTGCAGTGATTCGCTTAACAAGTGTGGTAAAAAAGGTTGTAAAATGAGGCAAAACTCATTTAACTACTGTCTTGCTTAGCAACAGAAATCTTGGGCTTAATTGTGGTTGTAAGTCAAGGACGACTGGAGTACTAATTAGGGTTCTCCATTCTATGGACTTTGAAATAGACTGGAAAAATAAATGACCATGTATATGGTTGAAATGCTATGAAAACAGTATTTATACCAGAGGTATCATTCTTAAAGATAGTTAGGATAGTGTTCATAATCACCATCAAAGATGTAGTTACTAAAAACAATGTTAAGCCATATACATTTGTTTAGAATAATTAGACATAGTTCCCTATATAAAGTTGAGGGCTAAAAAACCAGGTTATGAACTTGCTTAGAGGTTTACTGGGGGCTACAGTGATTGTAGGATAGATCACTTGCAACTTACCCTGACTTGTTTTCTGAAGCCCAGTTCAGGAGGGCAAACAGAGCCAACAAATATTAATTATTTTTTTAAAAAAGGAGGTAGGAGAGGCTATATCAACTATCCTATGGAATTAAGAATTATATCACATAGCTGCAGAGAGATAGACATAGAGTGATGCTTTAGGAAATGTTCTTTGTTATTTCATCTATTTCTTTTTTTTTTTTTTTGTAGGTGTTAGTCTGTTAGTGCCACATGGAGCAATTCCTCAGGGGAAGTTCTATGAAATGTATCTGATGATCAACAAAGCAGAAAATATTCTGTAAGTAGAATAGATCGTGTATCTTGTCTTGTTTTTACTCTGACCTCCCTAGCCTAAAAGTGATGTCCAAATAAAGGACATCCAGTTAAGGTTTCTTTTTATTAGATTATTTTAGAACAGTCTTCCCCACCTTCATACATGCCTTTACCTGGTCAAATATTAGCATGCCAGACTCGATTCAAGGTGATTTTCTTGCACATAAGTCTCAATATTCAAAATTATCTTACTCAGTTCCAACTCCTAACAGAAGAAATTAAAGTGCAGATAACTTAATCTCTTTGCTACCTGGTTGCACTGTCTTTTGGATATTAGACATATTCTGCTCCTTTATGCAACAGTCACACTGCTTCTTATAATTTCCAGTCAAGAACTGTAGCTAAAGTTAGATTGCTTAAAACACACTTCCCCAACTACGTGTCGTCCAAATGTAATGAACCAATTCCCATAGCATAGTCTGGAGTTGAAATACATCTAAATGGAAAAAAGCTGCCAGCACCTTACTGAAATCATAGGATTCTGACTTGTTGAGTTGAGTTTAGGCTGACATTTATTTATTTATTTATTTATTTATTTATTTATTTATTTATTTATTTATATCCCAGCTTTATTATATTTACAAATAACTCAAAGCAGAGAACATATCCAACATACTTTCCTCCTATTTTTCCAACAATAAAAACAACAACCCTGTGAACTGGGGTGGGTTAAGCACTACGTGGTCACATGTATTCAGCACATTAGATAGGGTCAGGTCAGAAAAGTGATTGGGGTAAAGAAAAGAAAAATAAATCAGGACAAGGAAAAATAACAAATATTTATTAACTGAAACAGTATGATAGTTCAAGAAAAAGAATATTTCACATTTTAAAAATAACAGAATGTTACATTTGTTAATAGTTGTGAATTTCAGCAACAAGGTATGCATTAACTTCAGTACTCCACTCTGTCTTGTTCCTGCTAAAGCAGGGGTCTTCAAACTTGGCCCTTTTATGACTTGTGGATTTCAATTCCCAGAATTCCTCAGCCAGGCAAGCTGAGGAATTCTGGGAGTTGAAGTCCACAAGTCATAAAAGGGCCAAGTTTGAAGCCCCCTATGCTAAAGAGTATGGAATTCAATTTTCTCAGATATTCTTTTCCATTTCTAAGACAATTACTCTGCAAGAGTTCCGTAGAGCCAACAAAAGTGTCTTGCATTTGCCCTTTCTAGCTTTCCCTCTGAAGGCACACAGACAGTACTGAGTCCCAGAGTGACCTGTGGTCCTACAGGGCTGCTCTTATGCCGCCCAGTCATCTTGACTGTTCCACATTGTGCAGAGGTCACTTCCCCAGACTGGATGTTGCAGTTGAAAACCCAATCCCACCAAGGACACTGGGAGGTAAGTTGAATTAACCAGAGAAGTAGATGATGATGAAGATGATAGTGGTGGTGGTGGTGATGATATTGGAATGAAGTCTTATAGAAAAAGTTGTAGTCCCAGTTATGGAAGTTCAATGTATGTTGCTTATCCAAGCAACCTGTTGGCCTAGTGGTGAAGACACTCACCTCCCACTTGGGAGGTTGAGAGTTCAATCCTAGGTAGCGGCAGATATTTCTCTCTTAGAAAAAATATCTGCTATGAACTCCGCATGGCATCAGGAAGGGCATCCAGCTAGTAAATGCTCAGTTCCATCCAGTCGCCCCAACTCTACCCTGAATAATTAAGGGATTGTAGAGTTGTAAAAAGGGAGAGTGTATGTTGCTTATCCATCTGTGGAGCAGTTTAGTTATTTGACAGAATAACAGATCTGGAAGGGACCTTGCAGATCTTATGGTCCAACTCCCTGCTCATGGAGGAAAGTCTATACTATTTGATAGTGAAGATTTATTTTCACATTGTAAAGCATTATTTTTAGTTATTTTTCAATATTCAAATTTCTATTTTTAATCTTTACTTTTTTAAAAAAAAATCTCTCCTTAATATTTAGCAATTTTATTCCTAATTCTAGATCTCCTGTAGTTATGAAAAAAAAACAGTCCTCTACTGCCTTAGCCACATGGTCAGGGATTAAGGTGATTGTAGTCCTACCACATCTGGGGAATCAAACTCGGAAAAGACCAGCATTTCTATTCTGTACAACAGTATTCAGTGCAGCTAGAAAGTGTAATTTTGTGAAATAGTATTAAAACCAATGTATTTAGTAATATTAATGCTTCCTGGCACAGCAGGCCAAAATTTATGTAAGAATGATGGAAAATCCTACATATCTCTTCAAAACATTACAGACCACATTTTGCAAAGTAAGTTTAGTCAACTGCAGTCTCCAAAGTAAAGGAGATGCCAATCAACAAAGTTTCTTAACTCCAAAATTAAGTTTTCAACTTAGCTTTTCTTATCACATCCAGTCACTTCTATTTTTAAAGAACACAATATGTACAGCTCTCATAATTGGAGGGAGGGATTTTAAGTAGGCACTCCTTAAAATGGGCACCCTTAAAATGGGCACCCAGGTGGAACTTATAATGTTTTTAATCCCTTCTTACCCACTTTTCCTCCTCTAGGAAGTTGTGACACTAGATGAAGAGACTTTAAACACACCTTGTTACTGCCAGCTGGAACCCAAGTGCTGCCACATCCTGCTAGAACAGCTTGGAACATATGTCCTTGTGGGAGAATCCTACTCTAGGTCAGCCATCAAGAGACTGCAGCTGGCTATTTTTGCCCCCATCCTCTGTACCTCATTGGAATACAATCTCAAAGTATATTGCTTGGAGGACACACCTGATGCTTTAAAGGTAATGCATAGCTGAGATTCTTTCTTCTTTCCCCTTCCCTGTCCTCTGTGCTATCAATAAATAGTTGATACTTTCCTGACACATATACACTTACACAAATTAATGTAGATTAATGTAGAATTCAGCATGGCCTCCTCCATCTGGGGGTTCTCCCAATGTATTGGATTGTAATTCCAGTCTTCTTAGCCCACTGCTTAAGCTGACTGGGTGCGATATGAATTTTATGACAACTCACTTAGACGACAGTGAGTTGTAGAAAGCCATTGCAGAACATATTTGTGATCCTATTAAGAAAATCCTCAGACCATAGAGGGCATTTTTCCTTCATGACACTGAATGATGAGTTGCTTATCTTAGACTGTGCAAAGTGATGTTTGCTCCATACGGCTTTAACGGAGACTTGACATATGGGTAATTAAAAGAGAAAAAAACCCACAAACGTATCTCATATGGTTTTATGGATCATGCCAGTAATGATGTCATTGGAACTGTGCTTTAATAATCTTTGCCTTGGCTTATCATGCACTATTCAGTTCACCAGCAGCCAGGCAACCATGTTTCAGGAGTTGGGATGTAGATGCCTAGAAGATCAACACAAAGTTTTACCAAGTAAACTATTTTCTGTTGGTATATCTATGAGAGGCAGTGGCTCAATGGCTGAATGACAATCGTGGTTTGAGCCCTAGCAAGTGGGTGGTGGGGTGAGCTCCCATCACTTGCCTTAGCTTATGCCCACCTTGTGTCATGGTTCTGACAGATGAAACCCTTCAAAAGTACTTGAAGGCATTGTTTTCCTTAAAGAATCTTTTATTTGGGAAACAAAGTATTGGCATTACATACTGTAGTTGAACCCAAAAACTAAATTCCCCTCCCCTGGATACAAAGTGCAATTCCTACAGTCATAAAGCACATTCCCCAATTAGCTTGAAGCGTGGGCTTTCTCCTCAGCTCTCCAGCCTGCCAAAACGTTATCAGCTCTGGATCCAGTTTGTCCTTGGATTCCATGGCAGAGTTATTATTATTATGACTAATTGAACTCTCATTCCAACCCCCCCTCCCAGCACCAGCTAATTCTAAAAGCATAGAGAAAATGGCTGCATTTTCATCTGTTGTCAAAGCAAGAACATCCGATGTTAGCAGCGTTGACACCTTGCAGTTTGAAAGCATGTTCTTTGTGAGTAGGTAAAATCCCGTAGGTACCACTTTGGTGGGGAGACAAGCTGTGCTGAGTGTAGGCAGTCAGATTCCTGATGGCTCTGAACATTCCCAGTTGTGGCACCTGCTTGCAAGGCAGCTCCAGGAATGGTAGGACCCTTGGGTGAAGCTGAAGGAAGAGCCACTCGTCTTTCTCGCTGATGTAAAGCCAGCTTGCCCTCCTGTGGCACACCTTGGGAAGAGTGCATTTCCTATAACAGGGTTGGTACCTTGGCAAATCAAACTACTACTCTGCAATAGCATTGTGGTCTCCTGGCTACTGTAACAATGCCATACGCTAATAATAATAATTGATATATCTGTTTGTCCTTCAGTGAGAGAAATAGAGGTGGATATCATCATTACAGATTTCATACCAATCCAGACCAAAAGTCTTCAAAAGAGGAAATTCAGTTATTAGACCAGCTTCCTCAGTCTGTTGCCTTTCTTTGTTTCACTGGACTCATCCCAGTCTGTGTGGCCAGTGATCAAGGATTAGATCATACAGCTGTAATAGTGGATGTGGGAAAGTTTGCATAAGAATTGATTTAAATTACATCAACTGATACAGACAGATTTTTGTCTGAACCACCCTTACCTCCTGAAAGGCATAGGAATCTAAGTTCCTAATAAATGTGCTAAATATCTTTATGTATTTTAATTAGGACTGGAGAAGGGGACAATGTATCCCATAAATTAAAGATTAGTTCATCGTGCTTATAAGCTGCTGGTTTTCTCTACAGATGATTGCTATATGCTTGGTAATTCTTGTGTGTTCCATAGAAATGCATTGAGTTTGCATAATGTTATGTATGCAAACAATTGACATATTATCAAAAGATGAGCCATTTTTGAATCCTCATCTTTAAATACCTGCACCTTACAGAAACACTTCTGTTTCCTACCTCTATACTGTTAGGTTTCCCATATTTTTAAAAAGGATATAATAACTTATTCAAGAAAATTGATTGTTCGGTACTTCTTGTCCAGCTCTCTCATTTGCACTTATTTTGGACTTCTCTGCCCCAAAGAGGGCTGCTGGTAATCCAAGCATGCAATGTGACTTGGAAAAGTGTTGCTCAGGGGAGCAAAACAGCCTGATGCAATGAGCTGAAAAGTGACACAGATTTTAGTTTCAGTAATAAGTTCCTTTAACCTATTCCTTAGGGAGCAGCCCTGACATTTTCCATGAAGCTCCCAGGAGGAGAAAGAAAGTATTGCAGGAACTATTTTGTGTCCTATTTTGAAGATATAATTAAAAAAAAATGATTATTAGTTTTTAATAGATTTTGCATGTCAAAATCATTTTTCTATTAATTTTTACTAATGTAGATAATGGGTAGACCTTTAATTTCAATACCTATTAAGATGAAAGAAAGGAAAACAACAGCATCCCAACATAGAGTAAATGGTGCTCTAGTCATGTATTGTGATTCCTTAACTTGGATATGAATATCTCGGAATTTTATTTTGTCAAACAGCTGACAACCTATGGGAGATGGGGAAAAGGCTACAGAAAGGAAGAGTAACTACTATGCTCTTTCATTGCTGCAGAACTATAACTTTCCTTGACCACTTGTCCCTGTTGCCTATAACATTAGGAGGATCACCATGTACAAATTATAATTTGTGACCAAGTGATTCCAAAAACCTAGAAAATTCACCTATGGATTTATCTTATCCCCTAAAATTCTGCCTAGGAGTCTTTAGCAAAAATAAAGATAAGTCTGGGACTTGTGCACCCCAATCATTAGCCTCTTCAACCAAAGAAAATTTGAGCAAGGGGATGAGTTTTCAGAGTCATAGAAGAGAGCTGAAAATCACATTATTCCATTGCCTTTATCTTAAGATAAAAACGTGTCATAATCTACATTGCATACGGTAGTTCTCAACTTACAACATTTCATTTAGTGACCAATCCAAGTTACAATGGCACTGCAAAAGTGACATGACCATTTTTCACACTTACGACTGTTGCAGCATCCCCATGGTCACATGAATAAAATTCATATGCTTGGCAACTGGTTCATATTTATGACAGTTGCTGTGTCCCATCTTTTGTGGTCGTCTTTTGCGAACCTCTGACAAACAAAATCCATGGGAAAGTCAGATTCACTTAACAACCATGTTACTAACTTAACAACTGCAATGATTCACTTAACAACTGTGACAAGCAAGGTCATAAAATGGGGCAAAATTCACTTAACTAATGTCTTGCTTATTAACAAAAATGTTGAGCTAAATTGTGGTTGTTAGTCAAGGACTACCTATATATCGTCTTCTATCATGCAGTTGAGCCATCTTATGTTATTTGTCTGAAGCTTCTGAGAAACAGACAAGATAACAGTCTTATAATCAAACTCTTTAGACATTTTAAAATGTATGTTAACTGGGACTGTGCACAAGATTTTTACAAGTCCTTCTTTTCCAACCACACCGCTTCCAGTTGTGTTGGGTCTTGATTCCCAGAATTCCAAGCCATCATAACCAAATTTGCTGATGGATGGCAATTTTGGATGTAGTAAACCATATATCTGATTGTATCTATCCAGGAAGGATGAATTAGCTACTTATTGTGATCTTTCAGGTGCACTCTAGTTCCCTACTTTTCAGGGGTCAAGAGAAATACAAAAATTGATTCATAATCCCTGTGTAAGTTGGTAGACAACCACCTAATGGTGTGTTGAGCACATTCTTGGCCTACAAAAGATTTCACATCGGTCTTTGGATAAAAGATGTCAAATTGTAAGACAGGGAGCAAGTCACTAGCCTGACCTGTTTGAGGGCCACTGCCAGTCTGTCTTGATTTGGGTCTGCTAGTCTGTCAGGTTTGGTCTAAATATGGGACTTCTCTTCATAAGTTCTTCATCTAATTAATGTAATGGCATCATTTATCATTTTAACATCCCCTTCTAGTTTCCAATGTCAAGAGGTGATCTGGAGAGTATGGAACCATGGAACACATACTCTGATTTGTATTTGTATATGATCCAATCTGCTCTTCATAACAAGTCACAAGTTAAACAGGTCCAGAATAGGGTTTTCTTATGGGTTTTTTTTATAGCCAAGTTTTCTTTGTGATCAAAGTATAAAGGCCAGTTATGAAGAAAGAAACTGCTTAGTTGCTATTCCTCTGAAACTAACTATTATCAAGCTATTTCCAAAGCCTATCAATAATGTTAGCATCACTTTGCATGCCTAATGAAAGTGACCCATCATTCTTAATGAAGTATAAATCTCCATCTGCCTTTTTACCAACCAGAGTGATTAGTTCCAGCAATCAACATCAAGCTGGTATTTCAGGCCTTATTGTGTTGTGCGTTTTAACCTTGATGTCACAACTGGCATACAACCTCCCCACTCCCATCCCATACCCACAAGTTAAAATAGCTTTTAAAAAAGGACTCTAGAAATTATCTTTTTACATTTTTATAAAGGACATGGCTCAAGAAATTGAAGAAGAATGCTTGACGCTGCAAGATTGTTATGATATATACAAGGAGTGGAGGTTCCTTCAGGCAGTGAACTCTACTTAATCACTCCTCAAATAAAGCTTGGATCAGGATAACATTGTGAAGGTTGCAAATATAATATGGGTGTTTTCATTATTGTTATTTTCATTATTTTTAGATGAGAGAGAAACCTGCATTATGAAGAAGACTATATAACTGAAGTGAAATAAATCATAATGAGATTATTGATTTTTTCAAGTGATTGGTTGATTTGAATTAGGGCATGTGAGAACATAGTGTACTAGTATGGGCTTAAATGTGGCATCTGGATTATTGACAGGCTTTAGAGCAAGGCTCTCCAAACTTGACAACTTTAAGACTTATGGATTTCAACTCCCAGAATTCCTCAGTCCCAGAATGGGACACCTTACTTCAATCAACTCACCCTGGCCAATTCACCACAACCACAACACAATTCACCATGGTCAACTCGCCATGGGACAACTCTCTGCGGGATAATTCAACAATTCAAGTTAATTATTTAAATTAACTTTAAAAATAATTTTAATTTTTGTCATTCACATTTTATTTGTCCCCCCCCCTTTGGCACCCTTTCTTTAATGATTCCATTTGAGTATTTCTTTGATATGAGTGTAACTCTTGTCCCGCGACGAGTTGTCCACATCGAGTAAGCCACAGCAAGTTAGCTGCAGCAAGATAATCATGGCGAGTGGGCCCTGGAGAGTTGTTGTAGACCTCCTCAGTCCACAAGTTTGGAAAGCCCTGCTTCGGAGCATTAGAGAAGATTGTCAAGTACAAGGTGCTATTTGGTGCTCATGATAGGCAAAGTCAAGTGATCTTAGAGAGAAACTTTGCTGTTAATTTGCTCAAACATTTATTCAAAGAGATACTCGGATGCTTTTGGTAGATGGCTAGAAATTAGCATGCACCAAATCATTCAAAGGCATAGAAACTCAAACTGGGACCTAGAAATACAGATAGTCATGTACATCAGCTCTCTTCAACCTGGCCTCTGTCTGAGTTGGGACTGGGATTCCCAAACTTTGAAGGTTAGATTGGCCTTGTTACCCAGAAGTCCTGTGAACTACATATCTGGAAGATGCCAGTGAGGCAATCTATAGTAGGGTATAGATATACACCAGCTGTCATGTTCCTTCTCTATCTCATCCAGTGCTTTTTTTGTAAAATCATACAACCTGCCTTGCCTACCCTACAAGGTTCCATCCAAAAAAGGTGCCAGAACTCCGTTCTGGGCATTCTATGGCAAAAAAAAACCCCTGATCTCACCTATCTTGTATTGCCTTCCCAATTAAATTGCTTTCTTTTTTTTTTACTTTTTTGTGCTTTTGTTTTGCTTGTCCCACAGGAAGTGCTTGAAATAGAAAGGACTCTTGGTGGCTATCTGTTAGAAGAGCCTAAGCCTCTACTGTTTAAGGACAGTTATCACAATTTGCGCCTCTCAGTTCATGACATCCCTCATTCACTTTGGAGGAGCAAACTCCTGGCCAAGTATCAGGTGAGTGCTTTATCAGTTTAACAACAGACTAAGAATGATTCGGTAGGGCCTCCTTTGAAATCCACCATCCTGATGGGTTTGCAAAATTTTCCCACTGCTCCAAAAATATATTCATTAACACATTTAGTTTTCCAAGGTTATACATATGAGTCTTTTAATAGATGGTTCCCAGACAGAAAGCCATTATGTAAAGAAAGAAAGAAAGAAAGAAAGAAAGAAAGAAAGAAAGAAAGAAAGAAAGAAAGAAAGAAAGAAAGAAAGAAAGAAAGAAAAGAAAAGAAATAGGGGTGACATGATAGCAGTATTTGAGTATTTGAGAGGCTGCCACAAAGAAAAGGGGGTCACGTTATTCACCAAAGCACCAGAGGGCAGGATAAGAAACAATGGTTGGAAACTGATCAAAGAGAGAGGCAATCTGGAATTAAGGAGAAACTTCCTGACAGTGAGGACAATCAACCAGTGGAACAGCTTACAACCAGAAATCGTGGGCACTCCATCACTGGAGGCTTTTAAGAAGAGACTGGACAGTCACTTGTCTGAGATGGTATAGGATCTCCTGCTTGAACAGGGGGCTGGACTAGAAGACCTCCTAGGTCCCTTGCAGATTCTATTCTACTCTACTCTATTCTATTCTATTCTATTCTATTCTAAACTGCAGGTTGAATTTCCTTCATTATTAGTAAAGAGATTTGTCTCCTTGCTGGATCATAGGAAGGAAAACTTCAGAGGGAAATATCTTGGATTTAAGTGGAAAATAGTAACTTCATCCCATTCATCTCAATAAATTTTGCTTAAAAAGTCTGTGGTTGGAAAAGAAGCAATGTTCTAATATCTCAGGGGTTGCCACAAAGAAGAGAAAATCAACTATTCTCCAAAACACCTGAAGGCAGAACAAGAGCAATGGATGGAAACTAATCAAGGAGTGAAACAACCTAGAACAGGGGTGTCAAACTGCCAGCCTGCAGGCTGGACGCATCACGCAGAAGCCGCACCCACCCCATTGTCGGCAATGGCAAAACAGTTCCGATACGTCGCGTGATGTCACGTGACGTCGCAAGTTTGACATTTCTGACCTAGAACTAAAGAGTAATTTCCTGACAATTAGAACAATTAGCCAGTGCAGCAACTTGTCTTCAGAGGTTGTGGGTGCTCCAACATTGGAGGTTTTTAAGAAGAGATTTGAGAACCATTTGTCTGAAATTGTATAGGGTTTCTTGCTAAAGCAGGGGGTTGGACTAGAAAACCTTTAAGGTCCCTTCCAACTCTATTATTCCATTAATCACTTTCAATTTTAGGCATTGCCAAAGATCCTGACAAGTTTTTACCTTGCACATTGGCAAGATTAGAAATATATATTTATTGACTATCTCGGAAGACTTCAGCTGACATGCCTGCCACATCCTTTCCTTCTTTCATATTGTCCCTTTGCTTCTCCATTCTCCTATACAACTAAGATTCATGTTCCATAATTATTTGAAAGGAAGACAAGTATGAAATTAAGTGCGCCCGCAATGCCATATAAACACAATAAAAATATACCATGTCGACATCTTCATCTTATAAACCTGGGTTGTGAATTCCAGCTGAAACCCAATCTGGAAATTTCTCTTGTGTAGCTCAGAGCAGCCCAATTGATTTATATTAAACACTTACCTAATTCAACACAGTGTTTTCCACAGTGACCACTGTCAGTTATCACTGGGGAGCCCACAAGCAAGCAATTACTTAGCATCTAGTAAACAAGACAGAGCCCCTCAGTCAAACTACCATATAAAGACTCTAAACCAGGGGTCTTCAAACATGGCCAGTTTAAGACTTGTGGACTTCAACTCCCAGAATTCCTCACCCAGCGTGCCTGGCTGAGGAATTCTGGGAGTTGAAGTCCACAAGTCTTAAATTGGCCAAGTTTGAAGACCCCTTATCTAAACCTTGTTCTTGGAATTTGATATCAAGAGAAAGTACACAGGATTGTTTTTGTTTTGCTTTTTTTTTTTTTTTAAAGGACCTATCTAAATTTTCAGTGTGGTGACATCTTGTGGCACACATTTGTTCATCTTTTCTGTTACTTTTCTATTTCCTTCAGGAAATCCCATTCTATCACATTTGGAGTGGTAGTCAGCGAGCTCTGCACTGCACCTTCAGTCTTGAGCGATACAGCCCAGCTACTACAGAACTTACTTGCAAAATCTGTGTTCGGCAAGTTGAAGGAGAAGGGCAGATATTTCAGTTACATATTACACTTGGAGAGGTAAGCAAGGAGAACTGGATAAGAAAAAGCAAATTGAATGAACAAAATGAACGAACGAATGAATGAGACAAAAGGAACAAGATATTTAATAATGGGCCTAGTATAGGAGTCTTCAAACTTGGCCCTTTTATGACTTTTGGACTATAACTCCCAGAATTCCTCAGCCAAAGGGCCAAGTTTGAAGACCCCTGCCTAGTAATTTTTTCTGAAACATCATATTGGCCAGATACAATCGGTAAAACATGGGCTAATGTTCCTGTAAGGTTCCTCTAATGCAGCGGTTCTCAGCCTTAACAACTTTAAGATGAATGGACTTCAGTTCCCAGAATTCCTTAGTCAGAATTCTGGTTGGGGAATTCTGGGAGTCCACACATCTTAAATTTACCAATATTGAGAAACCCTCTTCTAATGTTTAATTTCAGCCATGACTCACTTCCACTTCTGCTGCTCCAAATGTCCAAAGATTATAGATGTTTAGCCAGTTACATATAGATGTGTATCTCCTACTGTAGTTGTGGTAGGAAGTGCATCATTGAAAACATTCAAAACCAGTCAACCTCCCTTCACTTGGAGACTAATTTGAGATTCCTGTCCTGATCCCGAAGACCCATTATAGTTCAGCCATGCATGGCATTATTAGATGGCTGTTTTCTTCTGCACTCACTGAGGCAGGATAATTTGATGGTGCTATGAAGATCACCATTTATTTTTAAGACACGATACCCTTCATGTTCCTATTATTTTGGTTTTTAGCATTTAGTAGTTTTCTTAGTGCAATTTAGTGACTGTTTTTTTTCCTCAAATGCTTCTAACTTTGTTTGCCTAGTAGTATTTTGAAGTTTTGTTCTGTTGCAGAAGCAAAGCCGCAGCTAGTGTAGTTAAAGGGTGTGCTGTGCTGGCAAATATTTAACAACCAATTCTGCTGGCTTCATTGCTGTTTTTAGCCACCAAACAGCTGATCAGCATACTAGGCATCCTGGCTCAGTTCTGCTCTGAATAGGCTTGCAAAATTCTAGAAAATTTAACCATCAGCATTCAAGCCAGTACAAGCCAGCTCCAATACTATTGTGTACAGGCCGTAATGAAACAAGATGGGACTAAAACCATTTTCATGTGTGAAGCTGACATGGGCCTTTAAACTTTCCTTGTGTTACTTCTTTAGAGTTTGTCAATTGTTTCAGTGATTAAAAACCAAACAGAAGCATTTGTTGTATGCACGTATGTATATATGTCTCCCAGCAAATACAGTATGCTGTTTCTGTTTATAGTGAACCTTTCAATATCCATCTGTGAAAGTGCCAGAAGGCAGACCCACTGTGGCTAGAGAATATTGTTTGCTTTTTCCAGAACATGCTACAAACCATGGTTATCATTGAGGTTATGAGACAGTTTGGGATCCATAAATGATAAGATGGAGCTTATCAAGTTAAAAAAAATTGCTATCATTATCCAATTAAGTCACTGATCCTGCATCTCATTTTGTTTTGTTAAAAGTTCCTTTTACATAATAATACATATTAGCCATTTCTATAACAACAAACTTATCTAATCAGCAAAACCCAAAGTCACAGTTTTATTTTTTTTCCACCTTAAGCACAAAGTCTAGAAGCGGTTTCCAAGCAGAAACAAAGTTATCTATATTCTTTTCTTTCATTAAAGCAGTCAATTTAGCCATCTCTGCTAACTTTGTTAGCTTTTGCAACCAGTCGTCCATTGTAGGAATTAAAGTATCTTTCCATTTTTGTGCATAGAGCTATATCAAAGTAAAAAGTTGTGGTTGTATGTTATTATTATCTTATTCAACTGCACTAAAAAGAGTCAGGAGTCAATGCTATTTTTTCTTTTCCTGTTTCCCCCTACACTTTTTCCTCTTCCCTTTTTCCTTCCTTACTTTTCCATTATTTCCATTTTTTTTCTTTGTGTTTTATATTTTGGTAAACTAATAAAAATTTAAAATTTCAAAGAACTCCAGCTCCTCTGATGCCTTGCAGTCCTACCCTGGCAGTGCCGTGACAACCCAGCTTGGACCACATGCCTTCAAGATTCCTCTATCCATTCGGCAGAAAATCTGCAACAGTCTTGATGCTCCCAACTCTAGAGGGAATGATTGGCGACTCCTTGCCCAAAAGCTCTCCATGGATCGGTGAGTTTTACTTTAATGCTTTGATTTTCCCATAGGAATTAAATTAGCCAGGGTTGGAGATGTATACCAAGAATTATTTCATATGTTCCTTGAAATAATGTTTATAAATTCTAAAGAGAGTGTGACTGGGTTGTTATCTTCTAGATCAGGAAATTGATTTATTGACAGGGGATGCTTATATAAAACATTTCATCACCATGATTTTCCTCAGTCCTTAATATTTTTATTTTATAGTCTCGTATTTTTCTTCAGTAGCCTTCTTTCAAAAACCACTCTAGTCCTGAAAATAATTATGATTTCAGTGTTCTGATTTCATGGGGGTATGGATTTGATTAGGATGCTAGTCTACGTATGTGAGCATTGACATCAGAACAGGATGTTTCAACTACTAATGTTGATCCTGAAGATCAAAGCTGATACTTAGTAAGCTCTCCTACTCTTTACCTTATTTAGGTACCTAAATTTCTTTGCCACCAAAGCCAGCCCAACAGGAGTGATCCTGGACTTATGGGAAGCTCAACATCAAGACGATGGAGATCTTAACACTCTGGCCAGTGCCTTGGAAGAGATGGGCAAGAGTGAGATGCTGGTTGTCATGGCAACAGAAGGAGAGTGTTGATGCAGCTGTTGAAGACTTCCAGCCACGTGGAGGATTGAGTAAGAGAGGGACAGGAAAAAAAAAAACTTAAAGAGAAAAAAGCTCTTTGGAACCAATGGGAAACGGTTGCAGAGAAGAAGCAGAGTCAAGGTGCTGAAGGATTCAACTCAGGTTTCTTCTCCTTCTCATACTCCTCCCTCCTGAAATCACAATCAGCCTTAGAAATTGCGGAGTTTACAAGCAATCCAAGTGTTAAAGACTCCTTCCTCCTATTCCTCACAGCCTTTGGATGACAGCTTGAAAGCAATGCATCATTGCTAACGGTGACCACAGCCTCAGGCAGCAGTGTCTGCTCCAAATCTCTGTTGTCTCTGGGTCGCTTATTATGAGGGCTGCTGGAATCTGGGCTGTTATTTGTTTGGTTCTTTGATGATCTCTTCTTGACCTTCTCTTTTCCCATTCCCTGCTTTGCTCTTATTTCTTCTTTTCTGGCATTTATGCTTTGAAGAGTTGAGTACAATTTAGTAAAGACAACTCCTGTCAGAAGCTTCAGACAGCTTAAAATACCACACACGTACAAGGGAAAAAAATGGAAATCCGTTTCTTAGGAAACACAAGTAAATGTATTATCCAGATCTTTGGATGCATCCTTTTTTAAATATATATATATATAAATATATATTAAGAATCTTTCATCTATATGAGGGCAAGAATATCTTGGCACTCAAAGAGAAAGAGAGAGAGAGAGAGAAGATTTCTGGTGGTAAATTTAAAAATGGTCAATATATGTGATCATCTCTGAAGCTTGGTGGGGTAGGGTTGCTGATAGAATTAGAGAAAAAAATGAGGGTCTAAAAGGACAAATTATGTCCTTTTTCACATGGTGTTTAATTTTTTTATTATTATTATAGTTTACCATAGTAACAAGATTGCCAGGGTGTGGGAACAGGCTAACAATCCATTCATAACATAACAAACTGAGTTCTGAAAAGATAGCTGCAATGTAGGGCAGTTTCCTAGATGTAAAGGCTTATAATAATGAGACATTTTTGAGTAGACAGATTTGAAAGTTTTTTTAGAGCTTTCTGAAAAGACCAACCCATTGTGTATTCTTCCCAGCCCTCAAAACAAGTATAATCTTATTTCGGTTATGTCTTGACTCACTGCCTGCTTTGTGGCATTTATTTTCCTCTGAATTCAGTTCTTTTGGTGGTCCAACAGAAATAACACTCTGGCTAGTATCACAGTAGCTCCATTAAATTTGTCTAAAAACATTTTACATTGTATGGGCTTTATAGTATCCATTCCATATGAAGAGTGAAAATTCAATTGTCCTTGATATACAGTGGTACCTCGGTATTTGACTGCTTCAAAACTTGTCAAATTTGGTACTCGACGCATTTTGATGCAAAAAATATTGCCCCAGTACTTGTAGCTTCTTTGGTATTTGACGTGCTGCAAAAGGAAGAGGGGGACAGCCGCAGAGAGCAAACAGGAAGTCAGCCATGCTTTGGAGGCAGCTGATATAGGAAAAAGGACAGACAGAAAATTCTTCCCAGCCAAAACAAAGGGTCATGTGATAAGTCATCTGATTTGTTTGGCACTCAGTTTTTAGCATACATTGTGCTTCCCGGAACCAATTAATGTCAAGTACCAAGGTACTACTGTACAGGTATAGTCTACAAATATGGTTTTCTCAGCTGTGTTCTAAAGCTCTTTTTAACTGTAGCTCTATCAACAGAGAAGGAAAGAAACCTTAAATGTGAAAGTATTTTTGCAGTCTTATGTCTGAATGATTTGGGGATAAGTTGAACTATTTAAAGAGGCCTGTCCTGTCCTAACACATTCCATGGTAGCCCAATGTCTGTTTGAGAATATGTTCTCCCAGAATAACAGAATTGGAAGGGACTTTGGAGATCTTCTAGTCGAACTCTTGCTCAAGCAGGAGACTCTGTACCATTTCAGACAAGTGGGTTGTCCAATCTCTCTCCAATCTCTCTAATCTCCAGAAAGTTGATAAAGCTGTAATGGTCACATACAAACCAGCTTACTTGGATAGAATGTGTGCAAAAAGGGAAAAGAGTAAAGTTAGCCATTTAAATGAAACTTCTTTGGAATGTATTTTGGATATTGAGAGAAATGGTAATCCTGAGCGAATTTGAACTTTTAGGCAGAATCTGATCATTATCACAGACATATTTTTCCTCTTCTGCTGTTAACAGGAATTGCAAATATTCCAGATAACGTCCTTTGTATCATGTGAAGTTGATGCTTTTAGGATTATTTTTTACATGACTTTATCCTGTATTGAGATATGTTGAGGTATGAAGGAATGATGCTGGTATATTTTAGTTGCTGCGGGAATGTCAATTCAGTAGCAAATGCGTGTGGAATTTAACCATGATAACCCTTTAGAAGTGGGGGGGGGAGTTAGGTTTTAGCCGCTGGAGTGAATGATGAGAGCACTGAGGAATCAATGCAAAAGTGTCTTTTGTTCTGCTTTTTATAAGGTACTTCTGAAAAGTAGGATGCAAGTAAAACAGCCCCTCATTTGCTTTTATTCCCAGTCACTGTTACTGAGAGGTAAACCTTTGACTCAGAATACAGTGCAGGTCGCCCTTGATTTGCAACCACATTTGGGATCAGAATTTCCATTGCTAAGCAAGGTAGTTGCTTAGCAGTAGTAGTAATGAGCCAGACAGACTTTTGTGACCTTTTTTGCCACCGATGTTAAGTGAATCATGCGGTTGTTAAGCAAATCTGGCCTCCCCCCCCCCCATTGATTTTACTTGTCAGAAAGCCAGCTGGGAAGGTTGCAAATACATGCCAGTTCCTAAGCAAACCAAATTGTGATCACATGCCTGTGGGTATGCTGCAACATATAAATGCGGGGACAGGTCATAAGTCACTTTTTTCAGTGCCGTTGCAACTTAGAACGGTCTCAAAATGAATGGTTGTAAGTCAAGGACTACCTATATATGGGAAACATGACTACTACTCCCTGGCACACACTGTATCTGACCATTTTCCCGCTAGTAATTTAAAGTGTTTTCATAGCATCGCTCAGCCAAATGATATCAAGCCTGTCTTCATGACTGTTATTTTGGCACAACAAGGGTTGGATGACGCTAGAAACAGGCTACAAGACAGTCATGAGGAATGACTCCTATCTACATGCAACAGCGTGACCATGATGCAAAGCATAAGTGTTGGGTTCCTCAACCTCTCATTTTTAATAGCATTGATTATTGAACTAGACATACATGTGCATTGGGTAAATCCCTTAACAGAAGAGTGTGATTGAGGAAACAAGAATCACAAACTTCCTTTAATTTAGTTTTCACGCCAAGGGGCTACAGTACAGAATCTTGAGAACTGAGATACGAGCCATCCAGTTCTCCCTTATTAATAAGTTCATTAAGAAGAGGAGGGCTTTTGGTTTTCTTTATCTCAGGACATCTGCGTTACAGGCTACCGATAAATTTCTTTGATAAGCCTATAATGATCTTTCCTGTTGCTGATTGTCTCGCCTTCTCTCTCAGCCTCAGTATGGTCTCTCACAGGAACTTTCCCATTTTATATGTGTACTTCCTTGAGCCAGTTTATTTCTTTCTGTCTCTCTCTGCCTTTCTTGCTCTTGTGTAATGAATTCCAGCACGTCCTGCAAACAGCTGCTTTTGTCTTTCCTCCTTCCTAAGATCTATCCCAGAAGTGCACTTTAGTTCTAGTTTGCTTTACAGAAAAGTTAATATCTGCTGTTTAAAGTGGCTGAAAATTCACAAGGACATCATGCCTCTCGAGAGCTCAGGGTTCTCACATTAGAGGTTTATGATATTTTAACTTTTTCATGTATGTTTTTGCAAGATCTTGAGTGCTGAAGTCTCATGAAGTCTTGGCCATTTTCAGAATTTTTATTGGGATGGTGCGAGAAATCTGATGGGTAGGTTTGCTAACCAGAAGCTTTGTCCTTCTCATACAAATTTGCAGAGCTGAGATAGCAACAGGCTGATGGAAACAGGACTCCTTAAACCTTCCTAGAGCCTGAATGTGTGCATAAAATGGGCAGAGAATTGCTCCCAAGTAAATTAGAATTCCCCCAAACAAAAACAGTGTATTAAGGCAATGCAAAGCATTCAGAAAGGGCTCTTTGCAAAGCATGTTAATACAGGTCATGTGCATTCGTAGAAGCAAAACAGACTCCTGATACTGCATTGGAAACTCTGCCTGATGTGCACATGCAAACATTTAGTTTTGTTTCATACTGCCCTGTAGCATGTCCTGAACATCCTGGCATTTATGTTATTTTAGTCCCCACGATTTCTGAATTAAAATAATATCTTGCAAAAAATAAAGTGGCCATCAATTGAGATATTGTCTATATTAATGAAAATATACGCAATTCTATTGTTAAGCATAGTGACAAGTATTTTTATTAGTACTTGAGGAGTGTGCTTAATTCTCTTTGGGCAGATTCTTCCCAGTGGCCACAAATGATTAATTGTAGAGAGGCTTCGGAAGCTATAAAGAAGATTAAACCAGGAAAAGTGCAGGACCAGATGAATTATTGGGTTCTTATTATAAATGCTTTGATGAGGGTCTCTTGCAACCTTTGCAAAACACAATGCTGTCTTGCAGGGAGGAAAGCTGACTTGAGATATGAAAAGATGCAAATAAACATTAATACCTCGTGAAGGATTTGACTTGATAAGAAATTATAGACCAATATAATTACTAACTGTTCACAATGATCCTAGCTGATAGATGGAAAATAATTTTACAAGAATTTATTTGTGAAGATCAAGCTGGGGTTTTTTTTATCTAAAAGACAATTAAAAGGTAATGTTAGAAGCCTATTGGATATTTTGGAATATTTTGAACATCATAATGGAATATTAACAATGATGACATCTAGCACTCTCAAAATTACTAGTTCTGTGTTGCTTCTGGAGACCAAAGGAAACAAATAAATGGAAGCTCTTAGCAAATGAGCTTTTTAGTTTTCTTTTTTCTCAGAATAACAATTTTGCAAAAATGAGCATTGGAAGTTTTACACTCCTAACAGCACTTCAAGGCCGGCAAATTTATG